CCTGGTTGAGAAAGGCTGGTGTAGGCAAAATCTGATTACCCTTCTTCACTGCCATTGCCATTCAAACAAAGGCTTGGTTCATATGAACAGAATAGCACTTGTTTTGAATGTGAAATTATTTTTTGCCTCTGTCTATAGTGCTGCTAATTTCTGGGGGGGAGGGCAACAATAGTGATCAGATGTTTTTAACCTGCACAATCAATTGTGCCTTTGTGCATTTGCCTAGGGCGGCACCAAAAAATGCTGTCCCCCAAACCAGTTAGGTAAGAGAAAAAAAAAATTATATTATACAATATTCATAAATTACTGCCAGTACTCCTGGACCTTGTGCTTCTTTGACTGGGAGACCAACTTGCCCACTAATGCTGCCTACTCCTACATATATGCCGGCTGCAGCTCCTTCCGCGTCCTGGTCACCGTGCTGGGCAATGTATTGGTGTGTGTGACTTTCGTCCGGTTGCATTGGCAGTTCGTGCGCCGGACCTCCCTGGGAAACCAGCACCCAAATGTCTTACTTCAGGCAGCGGAGGAGCTTCCACAAGATCCCAGGGCTGAGATTCAGATGGTCATCATGCTCATCGGCACCTCCGTGGTGGTGAGTCTGGGGAAGTGCAGCCTATAAGCTCCGTGCAGGGTTATGTACCTAGAGAGGGTCAAGCTACAGAGCCCAGCGGCCGAGGCAGAAGATGGGTAACTGCAGAAATAGACAGACCAGCATATAAAGATGATCGGTTTTGCAGCTGCAGAACTAGAGACTAGCACAGCATGGCGGGGCAGGAGAGAATGGTTATTGTAGCTGCAGAACTAGGGAGCCCATCAAGCAAGAAATGGAGAAGGTGGCTATTGCAAAGGTAGAACTAGAGCGGCCCGCTACGTTGATATCGCAAACCTGTCAGAACCGTGCGCAATGTATCCTGCGACTGACAGGTTATTCGAAATGTAATAAACAGGAAGGGGTGGGACAAATTTAGATTAGGGATGGGAGGGCGCTCGGGTTTAGTCTTGCCTAGGGCAGCACAAAACCAAAATACACCACTGGGTATAATACCTATCCTGCTGCTCATGCATTGAATCTTTAATCTCTTGAGGAGCTACACTGTGTCAAGAACCTTGAGCATGAGACACATCTAGGAGCACTTTTGGTTCCATCTGCAAGCTTCTAGTCATTACTGTTTCCTGTATAGACCACAGCACACGCCAAGGGACCAGGCATCCAACACTACCAGAACTGTGTCAGATGTGGAAAATTCTTCAGTCACTAGCTCTTCAAGAGAGTGAAGATCTGAGGCATGGGCAACAGGAGAGCTATCACTCTTATTTTACAAGGTTATTTTTTGTCTTTCTTTTTGGCAACCATGTCTTTTAGTGGCCAAAGACAGGGAGATATTTCCCTGAGAATGAAAGCCTACGCTCCCACGAGGCACTTACATGCCATCAACCACAATGATACTTTCTGATGGTAAGAGCAGCACCATTTCATCCATTTCCCTGCTCTACAATAAAGTTGGAAAATCGCCTTGTGCTTAATTGAGGATTTCTAACTGACAGCCAATGTGAACCGAAATAGGCTGATAGATTCAGTTGATGTCCAGAATCAGGAACATTGGTCTTAATGAATCAGGTTATCTAGTGCCAGCAGGTTATCTATTGCCAACCCTAGTACTGCTGAATGGTCAATATGTATAGATGTCAGATACAAGAGGTCTACTACGCAGATATCATAATTCCCTTCTCTGGCATCAGCACAATGAGATGTATGCGCTCATGTGCAGGACCAGGATGAAGAGCAGAGGACACTGTAGATCAGGGGTAGGCAACCTTGCCACTCCACCTGTTGTGGAACTAAAAGTCCAATTTCAAGGCTCTGACAGCTACAGGTATGACTCCCAGAGGCATTGGGAAGATAGGATTGGTAGTTTCACCACAAATGGGGTGCCAAGGGTGCCTACCCCTGCTGTAGAATGTGGCACTGTCCACAGAGTGTAGGATTGCTGCCGAGTGCTTCTGTTTGTTTACAATTACAAGTGGAGGGGCAAGTTAAAGGACATGTGTATTTTCAGCAGCAGAGTTATACTAGATTAGATTTATGGCAGGGGCGTAACTAGAAATCACAGGGCCCCATAGCAAAATGTTGTATCTAGTGATTTCTAGTTATACCCCTTGCAGAGCCCACTTGAGATCCCACACAGCCCACCTGAGGGTGACCCTGCAGAGCCCACCTTATGGTGGGCTCTGCAGACAGGCCCGCCTCCTTCTCCGTCACCGGGCCCCGCCTCCTCCCCTGTTGTCGACCACAAGCCCCGCCTCCTCCTCCACTGCCGGGTCCGGCCTCCTCCACCGCCGCTGCTGGCTCTCATTGACTCTGCAGCCGGTCTGGAGACGAACGCGCTGCTGCACAGATTTCGGTCAGTGATCTGAACAGCAGCACATTCTTCTTCATAGCCGCCAGTGACAGCCAGCAGTAGAGGATGCCATAGCGACCCGGGCGGTCCGCTCGGCATCTGGCTGAGCCCCCCTGTGGCCGCCTGGGTCGCTATGGTGATTGTTACGCCACTGATTTATGGGCACCTCATGGTTGCAGGTCACCTCATGGTTAACACTAAAACTCACCCTGCAGCGAACATTTCCATTCTTCCCATTACCATTCTTCCCATTACCATTCTTCCCATTACCATTCTTCCCATTACCGTCTTCATTTTCTTAAAGGGGACCTGAACTCAAAAAAAGATTTCCTATGTTATATGACCAGGGCCTTCCCTACCCTATATGCTGACTGAGGCCACAGGGGGATGATTTGCTGGGGGGGAGCTTAGCAGTCATCCCGGCGGGGGGAGGCAGATGCGGTGGGACGGGCTGCTGTGTTAGAGCCGTGCTGTCAACGACACTCGGTCAGGTTCCGCCCAACTCACTGGTTGCCAGGAGGGACAGGATGCCGGCCTGAGCTGGGTGGGAAGCTGGACAGGGTGTTCCAAGTTTCTAAGAACTCTAAGCAACCTGGGACACTGTGCCCAACTGAGGCAACTAGCTCAGTCTGCCTCATTATAGGGAGGGCCCTGTATAGGAACATCTAGAAATGTTAATTGTGCCTGATCAGTATGCTAAAAATGTACCTTCTGTCTTGAATTCCTCATGAAATATATCAGTGCACTTTCTGGTATGTGAGGGTGCCTACAGTTTCATAGGTATATATCTGCCGTGTGAGATCTAAGCCACTGCTGACTCTCACTGCTAGTCTCGGGAGATTTGGTGATGTCATTTCTGTGTCGCTCATTGTTCACCTTGCTGGAGGCTCTGCCATGAGGAAGCAAAGTCTGGCCTCTACCAAGATGGCCACCGACACACAATGCATAAGAAGGCATGGTACATCAATAATTGGGAAAGATCAACTGCAGGGTGATAACAGGCAATACTGGTGACTCCCATGTGTGAATGCACACGGGAGTGCATTCATTCTGGCACAAGGTATGTCGAGAATGTACACTGAGCGGGTGCGTGCACATTCTAAAGAAGATTTTTTAAAAGGCAGGCAAGTTTGTTTCCTTGCAGAAAAGACATCACATATCTCTTCTGCAATAAGGAGCCCGCTTGTTTGCATTTCATTTTATCTCTCATTTTAATTCTGCTTACCTCTGTTCCTACACCGCTGTCTGCTGGTCTTCCTATGACTGCACATCCAGCATAAGATCACATCAGATCTCACACTGCAGCAGTGACACTAGAGGTCAGACTGTCAAAAATACCCCCCAAAAACTGAGATAAAATCTGACCATTCAAGAGCTGGTCCAAATAATACCAGCGTGTACACTGTATCCATTGTTCCCACAGACAGGATAAGTATTTGTACAAAACATGTCATGCCATGGCACCCAGGATGATGTTTTTCTTAGGAATCCTGCAGATTAATTGTCCTCTCCATTGTATTAGAACAAGGATGAGCTGTCAGAGCTGATCATAAAGAGGCAGGGACTACAGGACCCACAATGCCCTATCTCCCTGCAGAGTGCCATCCACTCCATACGTGATCAGCCCACAATTTCTCAGTCTGATTGGTCCACAAATGGGGAAGTGTGATGGAGAGAATCACATTGACAGTGTGAGATGCAGCTGACCAGGGAGGGGGAGAGGAACATACACACACACACACACACACACACATATTCTGGCTGCATTTTGAACATCGCTGTCAGAATGTTGGCGCTTCATTAATAAATAATATACATGAATGAGGAGGGAGGAGGCATCGATACAAAGGTGGGGTGGTGGTGCAGAGAGGAATAGAGATCAGACATTCACAGGGGCAGGTATAGCTTACTGACACATATATAATTAGGCGTATGCCTTGTCACACTTCGGGGAGAGACAGCTGGAGACACACATATATAGAGACAGACATCTATCTGTGATCGCACCGAGACAGCTGAAGGGGAGGAGGGGGCGGGGCCTGGGCGCTGCTCGGCTCTGTGCGCTGCACTCAATGCAGCTGTTAGTCGTGCGGTCACTGGCTGCTCCTTCCTCCGATCACTGGGCACTGCATGATACACGGCACTGCGCACCCCCAGGACCGACAGCTCTGCACCCCCTGGACACAGACAGATCTGCACCCCTAGGACAGAGATAGCTTTGCACCTCAGGACACAGACAGCTCTGCACCACCAGCATTGACAGCTCTGCACCCCCAGAATCGACAGCTCTGCAGCCCCAGGACACAGACAGCTCTGCACCTCAAAGACCGACATCTCTGCGCCCCCGTCACCGACATCTCTGCACCCCCATCACCGACATCTCTGCACCCCTAGCACTGCCCACTGACATCTCTGCACCCCCAGCTCTGCGCACTGAGAGGCTCCGCACCCCGCGGGCACTTCCTGCATTGAGCACAGTCTATAGCCGCAGCCACACCATGTCCTGCGATATTAGTGCCCATCAGCTCTAACCCCTCTCCTGGGACCCCCAAGCCTGCACGGTACTAGCCACAGGGCACCCGACGACCCCAGCAGCAGACACAGAGGACGGGACCGTGCTAGTCTGCAGCGATCGCTATTCTGAGCTGCTGCTTACTATGAGTTGCCACTGACAGCAGATCGGCGAGTGCCAGGCGCCCTGGTGAAGGATGGCATCACACGGGAAACCAAAGAGAGAGCGAACTGCAGACTATGAAAGTCAGATTAAAGGTGAGAGGGGGGTGGGCAGGAAGACCGTGTGAAAGGTTAAATGTTCATTGTCAGTGTGCTGTGCAGATGAAGCTAACAGGAGATGTTGTGCATTGAAGCAGTGTGATGTGTGAATCCTCTGTCACTATGCAGTGTTATGTCAGTACATATCAATCACAGGACTGGAATGCATTGTGCTTGTAGGGCTGTCCTGACACTGCAGGTCTCTGTGCATATACTCTGCCTTGTTATTTGCTGATTCTCTATGGGAGACTTCACATCACTGGGCTCTACTGATTCATACCCTACAATTCAATGGCAGAAAAAAGATTTATATTATGCATCTCATTGTAATACCTTTCGGCAGATTCTTTACCAAGCGGACTGGACTTAAGTATAATACTCACCAGCAAGCCATTGTATCATACATAGCAGCTTAGTTATTATCAGTGCAAAAAAACTAGTATATTGCACCCTAATGGCTAAATAGTGGCTACATAAAAATGCATTCTCCAAATTACTATTTTGCCTTACATGCAATTTATTACTCACTGCTTGTGTATCATATCACATATAATAGTTTCATTTTTAGTACAGAAATGTCAGTGTTTTGTACCCTAATAGCTAAATAGTACCTGCATTAAGAAAGCCATTTCCAAATTGCTATTCCTGTGTACATACAGTACAATACTGCCAACCTATGCCCGGTATTACCTAGAGCAGCCTTATTATTAGTGCAGGAAATAAAATATGATTGTACCCTAATAGCTAAACAGTGCCTGCAATAAAAGACCATCTCACTGTCACTTTTCTGTTAAAAACAGTAGACTTATTTATGTATTGTTTATTTATTGGTACGTAAACTGTGGCCCGTGGGCTTGACACAGCCCTTAGCCTGCATTTAACTGGCCCTTGGGTTACTTTTCTGTGGTTTGATACCGGACACAATTCCCCCTCTGACGCCAGTGATGGTGCACTATTCCTCTCACTGACACCAATAATGGGGAACTATTCCTCTCACTGACACCAATAATGGCGAACTATTCCTCTCACTGACACCAGTGATGGGACACTATTCCTCTCACTGAGACCAGTGATGGGACACGATTCCTCTCACTGACATCAGTGATGGGACACTATTCCTCTCACTGACACCAATGATGGGGCACTATTCCTCTCACTGACACCAATGATGGAGCACTATTCCTCTGACTGTGGGGTCCACGTTTCAGAATCTCGCAGAATCCCCTTCATCAGGCAAAACATGTGATGCGGCACTATTCCTTTCACTGACACCAGTGATGTGGCACTATTCCTTTCACTGACACCAGTGATGGAGCACTATTCATTTCACTGACACCAGTGATGTGGCACTATTCCTTTCACTGACACCAGTGATGCGACACTATTCCTTTCACTGACACCAGTGATGAGCACTATTCCTTCCACTGATACCAACTATGGGGCAGTATTCCTTCAAATTACACCAAGGATGACACAAAAGATGGAGATCCCCCAACTGGCTGCAGTCCCTGGGTTTTTTTTACTCCCACTAACCACGAAGCCTCTGGAATTGCTTACTCCCACTGAGGTCGGATCATTTTCTACTCTTACTATCCATGGTCTGCCCGCCTCAATTCTTTAAGACAGTCAACCTGGCCTTTGTTTAGGGCAAAATAATACGCTACTGCCTTCATTCTCATTACTATAAGAAGGTAATGTATGGACTTGTTTGGACTCTACCAAGTAAATATATACCAAGTATATATATAGCTGCTAAATTGATTATTTCGGTAGGTCCTCCTATTATACTGTATATAGATGCTGGTAAAAAGGACATAGATTGCTGCAAAGAACCATCCACACCTTTCCAGTGTGGCGTGTTACGGTACCATTCATTTTCAATGTCACCCTAATACACTTACCTCTGGTGCATATGCATTGCAGTGCACCGCAACGCACAGTAACGTACTACAGCACGTGATGCTGTGATGCATCAGACAAAAATGCTGCATGTCTGCTTTTATTGTCCATTATGGTGAATTGCTACCTTATTCATTTGAATGGGCTTCCTTAGCACAAGGCATGTTAACATGTGTCATAATGCACGGTAACATGTGCAGGTTTTTGCACATTCAATTTTATTGTATGTAGACAATCATGCTATACAGTATAGTTGTTGGTAAATCTGAAGAACTTGATTCTACAATGAGATTGTAATGTTAGCTTTAAAGTTTGTTTAAAGTGGACAAAACCTTCCCCCCCCCCAGTTTTGGATAGAGAGGGGAAATTTTAATATATGTGTTAGGCTTGTATTGAGGTTTATGCCTCAGCCAGGGCTATATTCTCTCACCTTCTATCCTGCTAAATTATATGTGTAGCTGATACCCACAGATTTCTTTGCTGACATCTCCCAATACAGGAGACCAGAAATGATCCCATAGAAGTCTATGGCGATCAACTGTTTAGAAAGAAGGGAGATTTTCGCTGCGGGATGTAATGAGTATGGCAGGCTGTGGAATTAAGGTAACCATGTATCTGGAAAGGGGAAGATGAAGGTACTCTGCAATATAAGTGTGTTTATACTTACTCTCCGGCAGTCCATGCCGCCTGTCTTCCCTCCATTTAAGAGCTGCAGCCTCTAATAGACTCTTCAGCAGTCCCAGTCCCATCCCAATGCACCACAGTTCCATCTTCCTCTCCCTGTGTCACTATTATAGGACGCTGCAGAGACTTGGGGAATGGAAGATGCAACGTATGCGTATGACCTGTGGCCTCTGGCAAGAGTATAAAATCGCTTCTATTGCATACACCCTTCGCCTGCATTATTTTGTTAACCTGACCGGGTCGTTTTAAGGCATGTTTTGCTCCAACAAATGAATGTTTGGGACTTTTTCAAACAGGAAGGTTGAATGTCTCTTTTCTGTCACAGCTGTAGGCTAAAGGAAACGTCTCAGGAAGTAGTACTCATCTATGCATCTATGAAAAGAAATCAGGTGTATGTCAGAAAATATCTCCACCACAATGCTGCTCTTTCATATCTTATCTTCGATAAGCTACCAAAGCTATAACTTGTTTAAATACTACAGATACTTACAGCTGTTACATTCTTTGTGCATTATGTTTACTGACCCGTTTAGACCAAGCCACCAGAACCTAATAAAACAAAGTCAACACCAGAAAGCTGAAGAGCTGAACCTGATTTGAATGCATTGTCATGGGCCATTTCCTGGACATAACTGGTATATGTCACAGTGAGGCGTTTGCAGGGAAAGTGAAAGCTATATGTGTTGCCTTGAGAGCCAGAAATGATCAAGTGACCTTGGAACAAAGTTTTCAGATAAGCATGGTAATTTTGTTTCTCGAGCTGCTAGACCAGGCACCTAATGTCTTCTGTCAACAAGAAGATGTTCCAATGTAGTAGCTCAATCCTCAGATTTTATGAAGTTATGTGTCATGTTGCCTTACGTAGTCTGCTGTTTTTTTTTACCTTCACTTGTTCCTTGTGCTTTCTGTCACTATTTTCAAAACTTCAAATGCAGCCCTCTCTACAAAGAAAGCACTTAGTACTTACCTGTCCTGCTGCTTGTCCTCTGGGGGTAAGGGCTGAAGCTTTCTCAAAGGTCTTCTTCATTTTGTACTCTTTTGGGTGTGTTGGATACCTGATCCC